GGTTTGAGAGACAACTAAGAGCTAGGGAAAGGTTGAGCAATAAGGTTCATCTCCTACACGAGGTCAAACCTTCAAGACTGGCAGAAGTAGCTATTTCATCTAATGCACAGAAACAAAAACAGAGTTAAGCAAGATGAAGAAATAGAGGAATATGCTCCAAATGACAGAAAAAGATAAAACCTTAATAGAACACAGATAAGTAAATTATCTGATAGAGAGTTGAAATTAATGGTCATAAAGTTGCTCACAGGGCTTAGGACAGGAATTGATGAACACAGAATTTCAACAAAAGCAATGGAAAGTAAAAGAAAGTACCAAACAGAAGTCAGAGAGCTGAGGAATAACATAAGCTGAGAAATGCACTAGAAGATTGAAAAGTAGACTAAATGAAGCAGAACAGCATTACTCTGAAACCAAAAACATTACAAATAAAATTGCAGGTCAGTGTTCCTGATGAATACAGATGCAAAAATCCTCAACAAATACTAGGAAACTGAACACAGCAATTAATTAAAAAGATCATACATATAGCATAATCACATGGGATTTATTCCTGGGATGCAAGGTTGGTTCAAATTCCACAAATTAATTAATGTGATACAATATACCACATAAAATGAAGCATAAAATTCATATGATCACATCAACAGATCATAAAAACCATTTGACAAAATCTAGCATCCATTTATGAAAAAAAGCTCTCAGCAATGTTGGGATGGAGTGAACATATCTCAAAATAATAAAGGTCTTATGTAACAATCCCACAGTTAACTTCATATTCAAAAGTGAAAAGATGAAAGGTCTTTTAAGATCAGGAACAAGACAAAGATGTCCACTTTTGCCACTTTCATTCAATACAGTATTGGAATTCCTAACCACAGCAATTAGACAAGAAAATAACAAGCAACCAAATTATAAGGGAAAAAGTAAAACTGTCATTATTTGCAGATGACACGATAATATAAAGATTCCACCAAAAAACTATTAGAATAAATGAATTCAATAAAGTGACAGAATACAAAAATATTGAGAAATAGGTTGCAAACTATCAGATTGAGAAATTAAAAAATCAATCCAATTTAAATCCTATCAAAAAATTAAAATACCTAGAAATAAATTTATTCAAGAAGGTAAAAGACCTGTTTGTAAAATTATGAGATACTGAAGAATAAGTAGAAACTGATACCATAATCATGGACAGAAAGAAATGACATTGTTCAAATGTTCATACTACTCCAAGAGATCTAAAGATTCAGTACAATCTCTATCAAAATACCAATGGCATTTTTCATGGAACTAGAACAAATAATCCTAAAATTTATATTGAACCAAAAATGACCCTAAATAGCCATAGCAATCTTGAAAAAGAACAAACTTAGAGGTATAACACTACCTAATATCAAACTATACTACAAGGCTATCGTAATCAAAATAGCATGGTACTGGCTTAAAAACAAACACAAAGATCAATGAACAGAATAGCGAGCCCAGAAATAAACCCATACCTATATAATCAATTAATCTATGACAAAGGAGGCAAGAATATACAACGGGGTAAAGACAGTCTCTTCAACGAATGGTGCTGGGAAAACTAGACAGATAACATGCAAAAAAAAAAAAAAAAAGAACTAGACCACTTACACCATATACAAGAATAAACTCAAAATGAATTAAATATTTAAATGTAAGAACTTAAACTATAAAACTCAGAAGAAAACACAGGCAGTAAATTCTCTGATATTGCTTTTAGTCATTTGTTTTTTTGTTTGTTTGTTTGTTTGTTTGTTTTGTCTTTTTGCATATGTCTCCTCGGGCAAGGGAAACAAAAGAAAAGTAAACAGATAAAACTACATCAAACTAAAAAATTTTTGTGCTGCAAAGGAAACTATCAACATAACAAAAAGACAACTCACTGAATGGAAGGAGATATTTGTCAATGATACACACAATAAAAGGTTAGTATCCAAAATATACAAGAAACTAATACAATTTAACACCAAAAAAAAAAATGCAATCAAAAAATGGGCAGAGGACCTGAATAGGCATTTCTCCAAAGAGAACACACAGATGACCAATAAACATATGAAAAGATGTTCAGTGTCACTAATCATCAGGGAAATGCAAATTAAAACCACAATGAGATATCAACTCACACCTGTCAGAATAGCTATCATCAATGAATCAATAAACAATAAGAGTTGGAGAGGATGTAGAGAAAAGGGAAAGCTGATGCACTATTGGTAGGACTGAAAACTGGTGCTGCCACTATGGAAAACAGTATGTTAGTGCCTCAAAATTTAAAAATAGAACTACTATATGACCCAGTAATCTCACTTCTGGGTATTTCTCTGAAGAAATCCAAAATACTAATTTGAAAAGATATATGAACTCCTATGTTCATTGCAGCATTGTTTACAATAGCTAAAATATGGAAGCGACCTAAGTGTCCACTGATAGACAATGTGATAAAGTAGTAGTACTTATATAATGAAACGTTACTCGGTGTAAAAAAGTATGAAATCTTGCTATTTGCAAAAACATGGTTTATGCTAAGTAAAATAAGTCAGACGGAGAAAGACAAATACAATATGATTTCACTTATATGTTAAATCTAAAAAACAAATGAACAAGCAAAACAGAAACAAATTCACAGACAGAACAAACTGATGACTGCCAGATCAGAGAAAGGTTGGGGGGTTGGGTGAAAAAGGTGAAGGGATCAAGTACAAACTGGCAGTTACAAAATAGTCATGGGGGTGTAAAGCACAGCTTAGAGAATATAGTCAACAATATTGTAATAACTAACTAAGGTCAAGTGGGTACTAGACTTATCAAGGTGATTTTTAAGTTATATAAATGTCTAAATATTATGTTGTATACCTGAAACTAATAGTTTATGTCAACTGTAACTGAAAATAAAAATTAAAAGAATAAGAAAAAGGACAATTGTGATTCATGAGAAGAGCTCAAAATATCAACATGATAACAAGACTCATGGTAAATGAAAACTAAAAAACTATAGTAGATACACAAAAACTAGAGAAAGTAAGATAAGCCTATCACTACAGAAAATCATCAAATCACAAAGAGAGCAAGAAGAAAGGAATGAAAGAATTACAAAATAATTAGATCAGCAAAACTCTATACCAATCAATAACTACTTTAAGTACAAATAGATTAAATTCTGCAAAAGCGAACAAACAGTGGCTAAATGGATAATAAAACAAAACCGATCTATGTGCTAACTACGAGTCTCTGAAAGCAAAGATATATATATATAAAAAAAAGACATTCCATGCAAATGAAAATCAAAATAAAGCTGGGTAGGTATACTTATATCAGACAAGATAAACATTAAGAGTAAGTCTGTAATGAGAGACAAAGAAAATCAATATATAATGATAAAGGAATCAATCCAATAAGAGGATATAACATTCCTAAATATTTATCCAACCAATATGGGAGAAGCTAAATATAAAAAGCAAATATTAACAAACTTAAAGGGTGAAATAGGCAGAACTAAAGTAACAGTAGAAAACTTTAATAACCCCCTTTCATCAATACAGATAATCTAGACAGAAATCATTGACCTTAAATGACACATTATACAGAACAATTAACAATCATATACAGAATATTCCATCCAAAAGAATCATAATACACATTCTTCTCAAGTGCATATGGAACATCCTCCGGAATAGATCACATATGTTAGGCCACAAAACAAGTCTTAATAAATTTAAGAAGACTGAAATATCAAACATCTTTCAGACTACAATGGTATGAAACTAGAAATCGAATACAAGAAGAAAACCGGAAAACTCACAAATATGTGTAAATAACATGCTACTGAACAACCAATTGGTCAAAAAAGTAACCAAAAGAGAAATCAAAAAGCATCTTGAGAAAAATAAAATAAAATGGGAGGACATCAAAATAAAAAGCTTCTGCACAACTATCAACAAAATGAAAGGCAACCTACCAAATTGGAGGGGGGGAAAAAGCAAACCCCCTCCCCACTCAAAAAACCACAAGCAATCAAACAAAAATCTGATTTAAAAATGGGCAACCAGATGGCCAACAAGTAAATAAAAAGGTGTTCAACATCACTAATTATCAGGGAAATGCAAATCAAAACCACAAAAAGATATCATTCCAAACCTGTTAGAATGGCTACTATCAAAAAGGCAAAAAATTACAAGTGTGAGGATGTGGAGAAAAGGGAACACTTGTGAACTGTTAGTGGGGATATAAATTGATGTAGCCATTACAAAAAACGGTATGGTGGCATTTCAGAAAATTAAAAATGGAACTACTATATGATCTAGCAATTCTCCTTCTGGTATTTACCTGAAGGAAACAGAAACACTAACACGAAAAGATATCTGATGCTCACTACATCATTATTTATAATGGCCAAGAAATGGAAACAACCTAAGTGTCCATTAATAAACGAATGGCTAAAGAATAGATATACACATACACTGAAATATTATCCAGCTATAAAAAAAGGGAATTTTATGATTTGTTACAACATGGATAGACTTTGAAGGCATTATGCTAAGTGAAATAAGTCTGTCAGAGAAAGACAAATATTGTATGATCCTACTTAAATGTGTAATCTTAAAAACAAACGAAAACCCCACAAAACCAACTCATAGATGCAGATAACGAATTTGTGGTTATGTAAGGTGGGAGAGAAATAAAATGTGTGAAGGTAAAAGGTACAAACTTCTAGTTATAAAATTAGTAAGTCTTGGGGATGTAAAGCACAACATGGTCACTACTGTTAATAATACTGCATTGTATATTTGAAAGTTAAGAGAACAGATTTTAGAAATTCTCATCACAGGAAAAAAAATGTAACTGTATGGTGATGGACATTAACTAGACTGAAAGTGCGATTATTTCATAATATATACATATATCGATTATGTTGAACTCCTGAAACAATTATGTGATATGTCAATTACATCTCAATAAAAATTAAAATAAAATACCTTCAGGTTATATTTATGAGCTTTATCCAAAATAGCTGGTACCAAGTCATCAGTAGACTCTCCATTCTCATCATGTGAACTGGGTGGATACCAAGAAAGGGCTAGTACACCTAACAGAAAACACCAAAAAGAAAAGAAAAATGAACACAGGAACAGGAATGACTGCAAGCATTTTTTTAATTAAAAAACGGGAGATGGCAGAATGAGAACTAAAATTTTAACAATAAAAAAGAAACATGTCTTCACTTAATTTTGTTTTGTTATGTTACTTAGATACTAGCTTTGGTTATTACATTATTTTGTATAGTAGATTTTATGAACTATCAGGCATCAGTAGCTTTTAATTAATAGGTTTTTACTTTCTAGAATAAGTTTTAAATCTACAGAAAAATCACACAGAAAGTACAGAGTTCCCATATACTCCCCCCCACCCCCTTCTTCTCCATCCCACAGTTTGTTATTAAGATTTTGCATTAATGTGGTACATTTGTTACAACAGATGAACCAATATTGATATATTATTAATTAAAATACAGAGATTACATTAAAGTTCACTCTTTCTGTTGTATAATTCTACGGCTTTTGACAAATGCATAATGTTAGGTGCCCACTATTACAGTATCATATAAACTGACTAGTTTTACTGCTCTCAAAACCCTTTGTGCTCCACCTATTTATCCCTCTGTCGTACACCTCTCAATTCCCTGGATAAAAATCAATCTTTTTACTATCTTTATAGTTTTGCTTTTTCCAGAATGTCATATAGGTGGAATCAAAAAGTAACTTTTTTGGACTGGCTTCTCATACTTAACAATATGCATTTAAGGTTCATTCATGTGTTTTTATGGCTTTATAGCTCATTCTTTTTATCGCTGCATAATATCCCATTGTACAGTTGAAACACAGTTTGTTTCTCCATTTACCTACTGAAGGACATCTTGGTTGCTTCCAATTTAGGGCAATCATCAATAGAAGTGCTATTAAACATTCATGTGCAGATTTTTGTGAGGATCAATATTTTTTAACAAAAGATTCATAAAATAAAAAAAATAAAGTTTCTCCCTGAACTACCTATCTACTTATTTCTGAACAGATAAATTACAAAAAAAAAAAAAGAAGAAAAAGAAAAGTTTAGAAACATAACCCTGCAAAGAAATCATGAACTGCACTAACTGGAGAAGCAATATTTGAAATCAATGAATTCAAAGCTTCATTACATATATAAAGAAATGAGAGGCTATTAGAAAGATGGTACTAGTTTCTAAATCAACAGACAAGGCAGGAACAGAAGAAATACAATGATACTAAAAGAGAAGCATATAGAAAAACAGGAAAAACAAGGTCAGAAACTGGCAGAAAATTAAATTGTACAATTTAACTTTGTAGTAGCATTCCATCTATAGAGCAATCCCATCTAGAGGAATAAAACAAGTTTCACTGAAGTTAACAGAGAAAAAGATATCTACGTCCCCTATCCAGTCTGAAAATAAAAATAGCAATAAGATCATAAGTAGGAAAAATCTATAATATATACATAATATATAGATAGGGTTTTAGGAGAGCTTTTGGCTGGCCATGAAAGGAGTCATATATAGAAAAAAATGTTGGTGAGAAAAGTGTCTAGAGACAATTGATCAAATATACAAGCTGCCTACTAGCCTAGCTTATAAACATTCCACCACCAATTAAAAAAAAAAAAGAATGATAAAAACTTTCTCAACATAGGACTATGAAGTCACCCTATAAAAAAAAGTGGAGAAAAAGAACATGAAAAAAAAAATAATAAAGGAGGAACACAGAAAAGAAAGATTATGCCATGAAGCTCAGGGAAATTATGAACACAGCAATCTTACATGAAATTAAAAACAAGATTCCCATTTCTAACAATAGTAGATTAGGTTACCTAGACTAATATTCTCAATGAAACAAAACTACTAAATAAAATGTAACGAACAAAAAACTTAAAGCCAAAGATCTGCAGAGAGTAAGAAATTACCTGTCCAAATTGAAGCAAAAATGTGAAGTCAGAGAAGTGAGCAAGAAAGTCAGTCTGCCCAAAGCACAACTAGCATAAGTAAACCAGCCCTCAAAACAAGTGAATTAAACCCCAGGTTTACAATGCTTAGGAAGTATTCCAGCTTTAAATTTAAAGTGTCCAATATACTCTACTGCATTGGACAGCACAATTATAGAACACTTTCATTATCATAAAGTTCTATTGGACAGTATTGCTACATTATTCTTATTCTAATACCCTAACCAATTCCTTCTTGTCTAGTTTTCTTCCTCCCAATCCTCATTGAAGGTATACTTTAAGGATTGCCAGGGGGAGGGGGAATATTTTTTGTTCTTGCTTATCCTATTACTTGTGTTTCAGTTTATTGTATCAATTATCACTTGTACCTGCCTAATTCTATCCATACTGTGCTTCACTGTCCAATTTATCTTTGTACAATAAGTCCTCACTTAACATCAAGAGGTTCCACTACGTTAGGCGGAACGATGTATAATGAAACCACTTTACCACAGAGTAATTGATATAAATAAGAGTTAAGTTCCTGTAGCATCTCATCAATGCTATAATGAAATTATGTTGAACAAAAATTACATTACTTAGGACCTGCTGTACAGCACAAAAGACCTGCTATCTGTATGTGTGAGGTCACTCATGGGCTCTATATAAATAATATCCTGGGAACCAAGCCAAAGATGGTTCTACTCCTGAGGAGGGTTGGATCATTTACAATGATAATGAGTCTTTCATAATAACCAGAAAGATTCCTCTAAATATATCAACCAAATATCATTTATAAGTAAAATCTATTACTATATATTTCTACCATTCTAACTGCTTAATGAAAAGTGATACTTTTTGAAATCCATTTTTAGAATATTAATATATTAAATGCAGATCATGTCATATAAATGGTGTCATCTCTCCACATAACTTATCACAATATCTTCAATATAACTGACACCCAATTTTTTTTCATTAAGTTAAATAATGCACTGAAACATGGTAATAATTAGGAACACTAGATATGAAATTGGACATGGAGAATCAAGTCCCAATTATGTCATCTGACAGGTGTTTATCTTTATGTGAGTCATTTTACTTGTGATTACAAAAAACATTTAATAACTAGACAGTTAAATGGTAAATTTGGGTACCTTTAACTCCACAGAGCTTTGTGATAGCTCCCCTTACACATAGGGAATTTACTGTTTCTTTAATATATCTTGAACATCCTTTCAAACTAAAGCCTTATCAGAAAGAAAGGCAAGCCCATTTCTAGACATAAACACTATTATGACAAGATGACACGCTTTCAACAAAAAAATTACAGAGCACATAAAAAAAAGCATGAAAAATAATGCGCCAAGAGAAAACAATCAATAGAACCAAATTCAGATATGAAACAAATGCTGAAATCATTAAATGGATTTAAAATTACTATGATTAAAATGATAAAAGATGTATTGAGAAAGATAGCCAACATGTAAGATCAGGTGAAAAATATCAGCAGAGAGATGAAAACTATAAGAATCCAATAGAAATGCTGGAAATAAAAAACACACTAAAAGTGAAGAATACCTTCAAGAGACTCATGAATAAACTCAAAAGAGCTGAAGAAAGAGTCAGGCAACTTCTGGCAAATCACAAGAAATTATCAAACTGTAAAATAATGAGAAAAAGGATTGGAGTAAAAAACGCAACAACACATCCAACAGCTGAGAGATCAAAGTTTTAACAAACATGTAATTGGAAACTCAGAGGCAGAAGGTATATTTGTAGAAATTATTACTGAGAATTTTGAAAAGCTGATGACAGACACAAGCAACAAATTCAAGAACTCAAACAACACCAAGAAGGATAAATGCCGAATACAACGAAACATATATTTAAATTGCAAAAAAAGTTTTAAAAAGCAAAGAAAAAACATCTTGAAGTCAAAGACAAATACATATAGGAAAATGAAAATACAAAAAGATTTTTAAAAATTACAGCATACTTCTCATCAGAAACCAGGTCAGGCAGAAGAAAATGGAGTAACATTTTTAAAGTTTCAAAAGAAAGCAAGCAAAAGTCCCCAAACCTACTAAGAATTCTATAGCAAATGAAACATCATTCAAAATAAATAGAAATAAAACTTGAAAGACTTCATTACAAGCAGATCAATACTACGAAAATATTAAAGGAAATTTCTGAAGCTGAACAAGATTGATACCAGTTAGACATACTCAGATCTACTCTAAAAATTGGGGAACATTGGAAATGTAATAAAAGAGGATAAGATTTTTTTTTTACTTTTAATTATTTTATAAGATGAATGTTTAAAGCTATGGTCAGCAAAAAATGGCTCTGTGAGACAAGTCTTCTATACCACTATTTACAAATTATTTATGGCCACTTTTACACTACAATGGCAGAGTTGAGTGGTTACAGAGAGAGACAGAGATCTATTAAAACCCCAAATATTAACTGATCTTCTACAGAAAAAAATTTGTCAAACTCTGGTATAAGAAGTAATGTATAATGTCTTATCTAATAGAAGAATTAGAAGAACAATAAAAAAAAATATGGAAAGGAGAAATTGGGAATGTATTGTGCTGAGGTCCTTATAGTACATATGAAATATAGTTGGACCGGAACAAAGTGGAGGTTAGGAGAACCAACCCCCTGCAGTCAAAAATCTGAGTATAACTTTTGACTCCCCCCAAACCAAACTACAGTCATTCCTCAGTATTCACAATTATACCTGAAAACATCAACACTGTTTTATCAGTAATTGGTAGAACAAATAGAAAATTGGCAAAGATAAAGAGAACAGAACAATGATATCAAGAACTTGAACTTGACAAGAACTTGAACTGACAATTATAAGATATCCCATTCAACAGTAACAGAATCTTTGGGAAAAAAAGAATGTAATGTAAAAGGGACCCCCCATTAGGTTTTCAGTGGATTTCTCAGCAGAAACTCTACAGGTCAGGGGGGAATAGAATGATAAAAATTAAAGAATTAAAAGATAAAAATAGCCGGCCAAAAATACTTTATCCAACAAACTTGTCCTTCAGAAATGAAGGAGAATTAATGTCTTTACCAGAC